ATGAAATATCTTGGAGATGGGATCCAAATCTAAACATGAAATTAATTTGCTTAGTATACAGATAGACACAAAGTAGTTTTGTACAGCACTTCAAATAATTTTGTGTGGAAGAGCACGTTTGTATACACGGAACCATCTGTCTCAGCCACTCATGTGGACAATTTTGGATTTTGGAGTATTTCAGGTTTTAGAATTCCCAGATAAGGAATGCTCAGCCTACATATACAAAGATATACATGTCTGTCATGCTTTTGAGAGTCTGTAGTAAGGGTGATATGCTCATAACACTTCTGTTTTAGAACCCAAGAAAAGCATCCTGAAGCAATGAGTCTTAAGTGTTTTTTCCAGTCTATACTAATCTAAGGAATAACTGAAAGGATACCACAAATCTGAATTGAGGAATGGTGTTGCATTTCACTTGAACCACACAGATTGTTCGAAATCCTACAGATTTCCAAAATAGTCCATGCTTAAATGTATTGGATAATCAAGTATTTTGTTTCCTTCCTCCTGCCAATCTGGTGGTATTTTGCTATAGTGTTCCAGTATAAGGAAAGTATTTTGTTGATGCTTTATGTTAGAACAAGGCAAGGGAACATGAGAAGGACCAGCCAACGTTTTTTTGGAAAGAAATTTAGAAGAAAGAAGATAATTTTACAATATAATATAACAAGTTGGTGAAAGGGTGTTCTCTTGAGCAGTGGCACATCTCCATTGGGTATTCTGCCAATTGGCTATTTCTCATAACTGGAGAGGACAGTTATTCTGGCAACTGCTAAAATGCTTTATTTAAAACATGCCAAATAAATTAAGAACTCTTTAATCTTTGCTCTTCAGAAGCAAATGCATTTTAAATTTTGGATCTGAAGCAAATAGTGAATTGCCCAGAGGAGAAAAGTAAATGTCATAGCTTTTGAAATGTGTTGCTTCTTGTTTGCCATAGTTATGCACAATCCCTCTTTGAACTTACTGAATATGTTTAAGCTTCTTTAAACTATATTCTGTGAATCGGAGAAGGAAATCGAATGGAAGTAGCTTGAGTTGACTCCCATAAAAGGCTTGGTGAAATTTTCACATGGGGAAAATAAAACTAATGTCCCTACTTTATGGGATTGCATTGTGGATGCAGGTACCTCAAGGCTAAAAAAGATACTGATTCTTTTAAATGTCTTTTCAGCATCCGTGCTAGAGAATAGATAGAAAGAGTGGTCTCTTGGCTGATGCCATCCAACATCACCTGGCACCTACTCCACCTCAGTAACTAAAGTGTGATGCGCTTAGAGGCGTCTCCCTGACCTGATAATATAATATTATTCATTCATTCATTCATACACTGCCTTTCTCTCAAAGTCAAACCCAGAGTGGTTCCAAAGAGAAATAAAATGGGTTTTTTGTATGTGTCAGGAGCAACTTGAGAAACTGCAAGTCATTTCTGGTGTTAGAGAATTAGCCATCTGCAAGGACGTTGCCCAGGACACCCTCCAAATGTTTGATTTTTACCATCCTTGTGGGAGGCTTCTCATATGTTCCCACATGGGGAGCTGGAGCTGACAGCGAGAGCTCTCCCTGGATTCAGCAGTCCTGCCAGAACAAGTATTTAACCCATTGTGCCACTAGGGGCTCCAATAAAATGTTAAGATCCTCACACAAAACAGTATAAAATAATTTAGAAGACATATACAAGTCTAAAAAATACATCCCAATAAGAGGCCTCCCAGTTTACACATTTAATCCTGCTTAAACAAAAAGGTCTTTGCCTGCCAGCATACGTAGAGGGTGGAAACAACCCTTGAGACAGCTATCTCTTGTGACCTCAACAAATGAACTTGTGATGGTGATCTTTTAACCAAGATCATTCAGGGTTCCCAGTCCCTTACAAGTAACAACCATAGAATTATCACATGAAAATGCTGGATGCAATGAAATCATGTCACGCCTTCCCATCACATTCACACACACATCTTTTGCTTTTGAAGTTATTGGAAAGACAGCAGTCATTGGCCATTTTAGGGAAGCTAGGTTGAATCTGAGCATCTTAATCATAGAATCATAGAATCAAAGAGTTGGAAGAGACCTCATGGGCCATCCAGTCCAACCCCCTGCCAAGAAGCAGGAATATTGCATTCAAATCACCCCTGACAAGATGGCCATCCAGCCTCTGCTTAAAAGCTTCCAAAGAAGGAGCCTCCACCACACTCCACACTCCGGGGCAGAGAGTTCCACTGCTGAACGGCTCTCACAGTCAGGAAGTTCTTCCTAATGTTCAGATGGAATCTCCTCTCTTGTAGTTTGAAGCCATTGTTCCGCATCCTAGTCTCCAAGGAAGCAGAAAACAAGCTTGCTCCCTCCTCCCTGTGGCTTCCTCTCACATATTTATACATGGCTATCATATCTCCTCTGCTATACTCCTAATGTATAGAAAAGCCCAGTTCCCTAAGCCGCTCCTCATAGGGCTTGTTCTCCAGACCCTTGATCATTTTAGTCGCCCTCCTCTGGACACATTCCAGCTTGTCAATATCTCTCTTGAATTGTGGTGCCCAGAATTGGACACAATATTCCAGATGTGGTCTAACCAAAGCAGAATAGAGGGGTAGCATTACTTCCTTAGATCTAGACACTATGCTCCTATTGATGCAGGCCAAAATCCCATTGGCTTTTTTTGCCGCGACATCACATTGATGCAGGCCAAAATCCCATTGGCTTTTTTCCCCACCACATCACATTGTTGGCTCATGTTTAACTTGTTGTCCACGAGGACTCCAAGATCTTTTTCACACGTACTGCTCTCGAGCCAGGCGTCCCCCATTCTGTATCTTTGCATTTCATTTTTTCTGCCAAAGTGGAGTATCTTGCATTTGTCACTGTTGAACTTCATTTTGTTAGTTTTGGCCCATCTCTCTAATCTGTCAAGATCATTTTGAATCCTGCTCCTGTCCTCTGGAGTATTGGCTATCCCTCCCAATTTGGTGTCGTCTGCAAACTTGATGATCATGCCTTCTAGCCCTTCATCTAAGTCATTAATAAAGATGTTGACAGGACCGGGCCCAGGACGGAACCCTGCGGCACTCCACTTGTCACTTCTTTCCAAGATGAAGAGGAAGCATTAGTGAGCACTCTCTGTGTTCGTCCACTTAACCAATTACAGATCCACCTCACCGTAGTTTTGCCTAGCCCACCATTGGGCTAGTTTCCTTGCCAGAAGGTCATGGGGGACCTTGGCAAAGGCTTGGACAGCAGAGAAATGTCATGGGAAGGACCTATTGTCGAAGGCCGTATTACTGAAATCGCAGTACGTCTCAACTCAGTTCCATAGGCTATTCGCGCATCTAGCCGAAACTTGTAGGTCTCTATGCCGATGAGAGGAGTGATCAAGATTAGTCTGGCATGACTTGTTTTTGGTAAATCCATGTTGACTATTAGCGATGACCGCATTTGTTTCTAAGTGTTTGCAGACGCGGCTGAGGAAATCCTTTTGCCAGAATCTTGACCGGCGGGGTATGTAGCGTGTAGGGCATGACGCGGGCAGGTGCTATTAGAGCGGTTATTGTTTGGGTCTGTCCTTTTTTTCCGCTCTTGAGATTGGGGACCCGACGATTCCACTCCTCCAATCTGGCTGGACACTTCTCCCGTTCTCCAAGATCTCTCAAAGATGGTTGCCAATGGTTCCGAAATGACTTCCGCTAGTTCCTTCAATACTCTGGGGTGTAGTTGATCTGGCCCTGGGGACTTGAACTCATTAAGAGCGGCCAGGTATTCCTGGACGACTTCTTTCCCAATTTGGGGTTGGATGTCCTCCAATCCCTCATCCACTCCATCTTGCTGAGGTTGAAGACTCTCTTTTTGTGAGAAGACCGAGGCAAAGAAGGCATTAAGTAGTTCTGCCTTTTCCCTATCCCTAAGAGATTTGAATTATTGTTGCAACTTCTGTACATTTTTAAAGCATATCAGAATACATTTGTTTTGGGTGAAATTATATTTTGAAGTTTATAACTTTGTGAGGAGTGTCAGCCACTTTGACCATTTGGAGAGTCGGAAGCTAACATGCTTGGCCATAATTCAGTTTATTGGTAGACAAATTCAGGCTCTATAGGTTTTTTGTATTTGATCTTCCAAAATGCATGAGCTTATAAGATGTCTCATTCTGTTTTCTGATCTTTGTTCTGGTTCTGATTACTCCTTCATATTAATGTGTTTCCAATTCAGGTAAGAAGCAGGAGCCAATAAAAAGGTGTCTGATAAGTAGTTTTGAGCAAGAGTCTTGGAGAGTTTCATGATGCTGTTGTATTAGACCTATTGCATTTCTGCAATGCATGGAAGATGAAAGAGATTAGAAACTATAGCTGGTATATAGGTTCTTGGAGACCTGAAACTGTGGTCATAATTTCACTCAAATACTTTACACTAGCATGAAGGTCTCAATATTTGAGGCCTGTCTGACATGGACACCCATAACTGGTGGGAAATCGTGTGCCATAAGTATTTACCCATCACCTCAATACCATCTATAGAGGCATCTCTCTGAATAGCATTGAGTCTGAAATGTAGAGGCTTATATGAAAGAGTGGGCTTTCTTGAATATGAATAAGCACTTTCTCCTTTTGGATAGCTGATTCTCATGCTGCTGTTCCCATTGATGCTGGTCAAAACTTTCTTCTTGTTATTTTCCTGTGTACTTCAAAGTATTTCAGGTTTAGCACCTTATTATTTCAGTATTACCAAAATATTTTATATCTAGTATCTTAGTTCCCAAAGGTTTTTTTAGCTCTTGGTCTGTTTTAATGTTATATTTTTGTATTTACGTGTGCCTACTGGGCTTTTATACTGGGGTGGATTTTAGGGTGGTGGTGATGGTGGTGGTTTTTCTTCTTCTTCTCTTGCTAGAGACTTAGACTAATTGTTTGAGTCTTATAGGGCCTGTACCTAAATAAATGGAAAATTAATTGGAAAGAGATAGCTCATAATTGAATTTCCACTCATTGTTCTCTCATTTGATTTTCCAGAACCGGTCCCTGCTTTCTCCTCCTGGCAGCGTGATGGCTTAGATGCTGACGAAGCCCGCCTCTCCCCTCAGGCCGGTCGCCTCATTCGCCAACTTTTGGACGAGGACAGTGATCCAATGTTGTCCCCTCGTTTCTATGCCTATGGGCAAAGTCAGCAGTACCTTGATGACACAGAAGTGCCTCCTTCCCCTCCCAACTCACATTCATTCATGAGGTAGGTTGGTAAGGTGTAACTTTAACACACAATTGAAGAACCTATTTAGTATGGCAGCCTTGGGATTGCAACCAAGATCACATTTTCAGAAATCCCTCATAGTCAGACAGCATCAGATCTTATAGTTACACCTATCAGTGTAACTTGATCCTGAACTGTAGAGATACCCAGCTTCGCCTTCTCTCCTAAAAAATTTACATATGTACTACTTATAATGTCAAAAGTCCTTTATAACTTGTGTCTGATTTACCTTTACACTCAGCCCAGTTAGCCAGGTTCTCATTTTACAGAAAAATAACTGAGTCAGAAAATTAACAAGTTCTTAAATGTAGCACATTGTAGCTGTAGGCACAAAACTCTTCTCCCAGTTTTAGATTGCTTTCTAGTAATTTCCATTGATACTATTTCATGATTGATAGCAAATTGTTTTTTCTTTAAGGGCAGTACTAAAATTGTACATACTTTCATATGTATTTGGCAGTTGTAATATAAGTAAAGTGTGGTTTATTTCAGGGTGGGAACCTGGATCAGTGGTCAGAGCACATGTTTCATTTGCAGAATTTCCTAGGTTAATTGCATGTGATTGCCATAAAATGAAAACAGGTTGGTGGTGAAGGGGAACTCCACTTTAGACCCAAAATGCCCATCAAAATAAACAGCCTTTGTTTCCAATATTCCTGTGTTTGAATCTTGCTAATTTCGAGAGGATTTGTTTTTTCTTTCCATTGCATCGAGCCCTTTTCTTGTTAGTCGTATATGAACTAGTTGATAACTAGTTGATTTGACAACAATGCCCTTGCCTTCATTCATTACAGGAGAAGAAGTTCATCTTTGGGATCCTACGAAGATGACCGAGAGGATTTAACACCCGCTCAACTGACTCGCAGGATTCAGGGGCTGAAGAAAAAGATCAGGAGGTTTGAAGAAAAATTTGAAGAAGAGAGGAAATACCGAGTAAGTTGCCTGAAACATTTATTATAATGATCCGGCAAAACTCTCTGGTGTTGACTTTTCTTTTCCCATTGGCAAAATGAGTATTTTTCTGGCCTGAACATCCCCAGGGATTGGATTGTTAAGCAGCAGAGCTGTTTAGTTGGAAACTCAGAAGAACTGTGAACTTCAGTAGAAAAAGGAAAGTTTTCCAGGCTCCATCACACTGAAAAAATAACCCTCTGGAGTCTATCATTCTCAGGCTGTAATCTTATGCCCACTTTGCTAGAGAGTAAATCCCATTAAATTCAGGTTAAATTATATATGTCTGAGTAAAATATAGGATCATACTGTTAATCTTTTGTCAACTTATTTATTTAGTTAGCTGATTTATAAATGTTAGTTTTGTATAGAACACACATTCGGTTGGAGTTTGGCTTTACTCCAACCGAACTGGTTTCTGTCATTCTCAGTTTGAATCTTGGAAGAACATGTGATATTTGCAGATAAAGTGTGTATTTTTCTTTTGGGTAACATTTCAATAAGGTTGAATTCATTATTATTCTAGAAAATGGTTTACTCTTAAATATCAAAGTGCAGCAATTGCTAAAATATCAGGGCGGAAAATGCTTAGATCTTTCAGGCAAACTCTAATCTTCCCTTTCTTTCGTATTGTGTACAAATTTAATTTAATGACCAGAAGGTTCGACTGAAGCAAATCAACATCTCAATGTAATCTTTGGTTTCAGATTATGCTGCCTCTATTTATGTGAAAAAACTTTCTTCTCTTTGTTTTCCCTGCCCTCTTGCAGCCATCACACAGTGACAAAGCTGCCAACCTGGAGGTGCTGAAGTGGACAAACGACCTTGCAAAGTTTCGGAAGCAGCTGAAAGGTGAGAGCCTGACCTAACATGGAGTACTTGCATAGACTTTTGGCTGATTTTGCAATCTTTCATTCTCTTGAATTCTCTCTCTTGGTCCTTCATAGTGTTGGAAATCCACTTCCTTTTTTTGTTCTCTTTCCAAAACTATAGAGTCCAAACTGAAGATGTCAGAGGAAGATCTGGTTCCTGTGATGCGCCAGAGGAGCAATACACTCCCCAAAAGTTTTGGCTCGCAACTGGAGAAGGAGGAGGAGAAGAAGCAAGACGTGCCTGATAAATCATCAAAGCCAGCAGTGGAAGCAACTCTGGAATCCATGCAAAAGAAACTCCAGGAGAAAAGAGCTGAGGCAAACAGGCCTGAAGACATTAAGGTACAATGAAATAAGTGAAATGGCTTCAGTTACCAAGAACAATAAATAATTGAAGTACGGAATCTAATGTCAGTCACATATTAAAGCATATCAATTGAAATCAATAGAATATCAGTCAATGGTGTCTAGTGAGTTCCATTCTTTTACATCAGTGGTTCTTAACCTGTGGGTCCCCAGGTGTTTTGGCTACAACTCCAACAAATCCTAGCCAGTTTACCACCTGTAAGGATTTCTGGGAGTTGAAGGCCAAAACATCTGGGGACCCACAGGTTGAGAACCACTGCTTTACATGGATCTACTCCAGTTGGAACTGACGTTGCATTTAGCCTTCACGTTTCTGGTTTTGAATTCTTCCATTTTTCTCAACATGTATGCATAAATTTGCCATTTAAAACACATCATTTTGCGGTGGTATAAAACCTATTTTACTACTTAACTCTGAGGTGCAGGTAACCTGTTTTCCAGACATTTTGGGCTATATCTCCTATGGGCCCCAATCACTTCACTTCACTTTATTTCTTAATTAGTCGCTCTCCACCAAGGTGCTCCGAGCGACTTACAGTCTAAAATAGCATTTACACAATATAAAAATATTCAACATAAAAACATTCAACAGTGACTATTTGGCAAATTAGGTCTGATTACTTAAATGCACAACCAAACAGCCAAGTCTTGAGTGCCTTTACAAAAGGTTGCAACTCCGACATTGCTCTGATGTATGGAGGCAAAGAGTTCCACAGAATTGGAGCATAGGTCGAAAAAGCTCTACACCTTGTAGCTTCCAGGTGTACCTCCCTTGGGCCTGGTATATATAGGAGATTTTCCTGGGTGGATCGAGGTGACCACTGATGGAGAAAAGCAATGAGGCAGTCCCTCATTGTTGTTGCAGAATCGGTGTGATATGGGATCTTATAGATGATCCCGCTAGCAGCCTGGCCGCTGCATTTTGGATCATCCGAATCTTCTGGGTTGTTGACTTCGGAAGGCCGGCATATAAGGCGTTGCAATAGTCTAACCTCGTGGTGACTGTTGTGTGGATTACTGTTGCCAATGCTTCTACCGAAAGGTAGCATGGTCAAAGGACGGCTTATTTATTTATTTATTTACTTACTTACTTATTTACTTATTAGTTTATCTCCCAGCTTTCTCCTAATAATGAAACTCAAGTCGGCTACTTGAAAAGCTGCCTTTAATTTTACATTGTATTTTGATACAGGATCATGGGTTCATTTCAGAAATCTTAAGTGTTGCTTCTGAATGCTTGTAATGAAATTTTGACTTGGATACAAACAAGATTATGTGAGAGAGAACCTTCCGATAATTCGGGGGTGGGGGAATAAATTTCAATTTAAATGTTAAAGTAACTTGTTTAGATACCTAAAATCCAATTTCCTGCCCTTGTTAACTGTGATATTGCCAGTGAGAAGAAAGCAAACGTTCCACTGATGTTTACAACAGCATCCATATAGCATGGTGTTAGCAGCTGCTCCCATTGTAAAGCAGAGTCATTGAATATCATCAAAAAGCACCTAATTGCATGATCTAATCTTGTGAAAAAGTCCCACACTTTAAGTGATTAAATATGTGACTTGAACTTTCAGCTGAATGATTGGCATTTGTTAAAGTATAATGAAAGTGCTGGTGTACTGATATAATGGTTACACAGTGCTTTGATGGACAGTAATAATACTGAGGATGTAGGTACTGTTGATGGCACAACAATTAGTTCTTCTATTAAGGTTGGCAGGAAGACCTTTGACAGCTCTCACAGGATTTCATCCCTCCTCCATTAAGTGTGCCTTGACTTTCCTTAACACTATGTGTGAAGTGTTACCACTCATACATTCACTAGGGTTAGGGACACAGGTTCCTTGCAAAAATGTAGTGAATTTAAAAACCCACTATTTCATTGGTTCTCAGCCTGTGCGTCCCCAGGTGTTTTGGCCTCCAACTCCCAGAAATCTGGCTAGGATTTCTGAGAGTTGTATGCAAAAAAATCCATTAACTTACTTACTTAGGTGATCCGTCGTAGCCCGAGGATGATGGTCCTCCAAGTGCAGTGTCTTGGCGGTAGGTCCGTAGGTGGCTGTGGAGCCCTATTCTTGATCCGCATGTTCTCCCCCAGTGAGGACATTGGTTTCCAGGTGGAAGGCAGTCCCAGTCAGGGTTGACTTGATGCGCCTTCCTCTTGGCATGTTTCTCCCTTTCACCCTCCATTTGTGCCTCCTCTAATTCTGCAGCACTGCTGGTCACAGCTGACTTCCAGTTAGAGTGCTCAAGGGCCAGGGCTTCCCAGTTGTAGGCCAAAACACCTGGGGACCCACAAGTTGAGAACCACTGCATTATTTTCTGAGAGACCATCTCTATAGAAATATCTATAGGAAGCCACACTAGAGAACCTAACAATTCCTGAAGGGAGCATTTTAATCAAATCCATAAATGTGGAGGAACAATTGTATTATTCATCAGAGCTGTATGGTGAGAGAACAGAATGGGGCATGGAAAAGAATAGGATATATTAGTAGAACTGCCCTTATTCCCAGCTTCCCTTGTTCTCTTCCTACATCTCCTCTTCTCTTGTCTTTGCAGGACATGACTAGAGACCAGATAGCCGCAGAGAAAGTAGCTCTTCAGAAATCCCTCTTGTATTATGAAAGTATCCATGGAAGACCAGTAAGTATAGCAGCATTCTTGTCAAGTATTCCTCACACTGAACTTATGTTGATGGCCAAGATGCAACTGGAGGAAAACACATTGTAGAGTGTCTTACACTTTGTTTCATGTATCAACACACCACATTTTTAAAAAGCTCTATGGAAAGTCAGTGTAGACACCTTTAATTTTTTCACAGATGTGCTTCTCAGCATGAGCTTCTTGCCTCTTATTTACTTCCTTATGTTCTTTGCCTAGTATTACACGCTGTATTGTCTGCTTCAAGTCCCTGATCCCATCATATTTGCTAGAGCTTCAGTCTTCAATAGAACAAGCCTTAACTCCAATTGACATCTCTCAGGGCCACTTCACACCCTTTGCTTTGAGCTGGTGTAAATTGGACACGTACAAATTGTACTCTGTTTGTCAACAAACAATGTTGCTCATGACCCCTCTCCAGTTCCTCTAATGTTGGATTCTTCCAACACAATCGTTTACAGTTTGATGTGTTAAAAAGAGCAGTTTGGAGCGATGAGCAAGTCAGATTACTGCTCATGTTAAAGACAACAGAAGATGATGTTTTCCTCCATTTACTTCTCTGACTGCATTTTCTCCTTGTCATTTGTATTGCTATTTTTGTTTTTAATCTTTCATAACGGAGTGTTTTCACTCTTCGGTCCATTGTTTACACATTCAGATTACTTTATAGTTATTGCCATAGAAGCAGTGCTTCACAATCACTATCTAAGGTTAACAAGTGAATTAATCCTGCCAACACTTCCATGGTAGATTTCAAGATATGTTACAGAAGTAACAAAACAAGTAATTTAACATACCTGATTCTTCCTTAATTCTCTCTTAGTGCTATAATTAATGAGAGAGCACTTTAGCCCATTTTATCAAGTGTTTCTGATGCATGAGATTCATTAGTTGCATCTTTGTCAATGATATCACCCTAGGAGGCCTATCTTAATAATTGGACAGGGAAATAAAATGCCATGTGTTTTGTTTTCAGCACCTGTTCAGAAGGTGATTCACTCCTCAAAAGACATTAAATAGAGATTAAAGGAGTGGCAATAATCTGTTGCTACCTGCAAAATCCATTACCACCTTTTGCTTTTTCTCTTTACAGGTAACAAAGCATGAACGACAGATGATGAAACCGCTATATGACAGATATCGTTTGGTCAAGCAGATCCTCTCAAGGGCCAACAGCATCCCTATTATTGTAAGTATGCATTTCTTTTGAGTGTTCAGTTAAACGGATTTTAGTCCCCGTGCTGGCAGGGAGCATCCCAACTTGGTGGAGTTTGCTTCTAGGGAGTGGTCAGGATTTATTTGTTTAATGACCCAATTATTTATCTTTTTGGTGGCCAATGATATCTGCAGAAGTGTCTTTCAGCATCACATGAGTTGATTTTGCTTTCTATCAGCTTTCGTCACTGTCCAGCTTTCAGAACTATACATGCAATTATGATGGTGTGGTCAATCCTAAATGTGATATTCAATAATATAAGTTTATACTTGAGGATCTTGTCTAGTTCCTTCATATCTACTCTTCCAAGACCTAGTCTTCTGCTTTTGCAGTCCCAATATCTGCTAAGAGGGCCATATCATCATATTGTGATGCGGCAAGCCAATGGGATTTTGACCTGCAGCAATAGGAGTCTCGTGTCTAGATTCAGGGAAGTCATGTTACCCCTCTATTCAGCCTTGGTTAGACCATATCTGGAATACTGTGTCCAATTCTGGGCATCACAATTGAAGGGAGATGTTGACAAGCTGGAATGTGTCCAGAGGAGGGCGACTAAAATGATAAAGGGTCTGGAGAACAAGCCCTTTGAGGAACGGATTAAAGAGTTGGGCATGTTTAGCCTGCAGAAGAGAAGGCTGAGAGGAGACATGATGAGGGCCATGTATAAATATGTGAGGGGAAGTTATAGGGAGGAGGGAGCAAATTTGTTTTCTGCTGTCCTGGAGACTAGGATGCAGAACAATGGTTTCAAACTATAGGAAAGGAGATTCCATCTGAACACGAGGAAGAACTTCCTGACTGTGAGAGCTGTTCAGCAGTGAAGCTCTCTGCCCCGGAGTGTGGTGGAAGCTCCTTCTTTGGAGGCTTTTAAACAGAGGCTGGATGGCCATCTGTCAGGGGTGATTTGAATGCAATTTTCCTGCTTCTTGGCAAGAGGATGCACTGGATGGCCCATGAGGTCTCTTCCAACTCTATGATTCTATTATTCTATTGCAATATCCCTGACCGATGAACTTAAGGGCCTACCTAGTCTCACACTTTTGAGACAGTGTATTTCACAGTGTTGCTTTGTGGACATGAGGACTAGACACATTGTTTCCTTCCTTTTGTCACTTCCCCCCTCTTCCTTCTTTCCTTTTCTTCCTTCCTAAGGGAGAGCCTATATACTAGCTTGTGTGAAGGGCAGTCACTATGTGGTACATTCATTCCAAAACTGCTTCCTTGTCCTTTAGACCATTTGTATCCTAGCCAGTGCAAACACGAAATGCTTTCCTCTTACTTTCAGCCTGTTCCTTTATTTTCATGAATAAATGTTTATTTTCACTCCTTTGCTGGTGCCAGACCAAAGCCTAGGTCTTGGCAGCATCGTATGTGGATATTTAAAAATAAAGCTTCTCTTCAGATAAATGGATGGAAGGCACATGAGTTACACAGAGCTGTTGCCTATATCCTGGCAGGCACACGTTGTCTCCTGGCCAGGGATTGATTTCTGTCTTCCATCTCCTGTTTAAATATTGGGATGAAAACATAAAATACTGCCTCCAATCTCATTAATTTTAGTTGAGGCAGGATGATTGAGGGAGAGAAGTTCCATATTGGATTGTTTTTATATGATAACACAAGTGGAAAACAATCATATTTTTGAAGCATTTCAACATTTCACATGCTCCATGATGCTCTAAATATGTACACCTCAGCCACCTGGATCTCCATATTATCCAACATTCTCACATCAATGTGTTGTCGAAGGCTTTCATGGCTGGAATCACTGGGTTGTTGTGAGTTTTCCAGACTGTATGGCCGTGTTCCAGAAGCATCCTCTCCTGACGTTTTGCCCATATCTAGAAACTAGGCACATGAGGTTTATATACACAGAGAAGCCATTGAAATACACAAGCATGCAGACACTTTCAACAGAAAGGAGGAAACAATGAAAATGAACAAAATATGGCTAACAGTGTTAAAAAAAACCCACTAAAATCAGGACAGTAAATAAAGAGTAACACTCAAAAAACAGGGGAATTCCAGACAAGAATAATTTAGGGCCAACTAACACCTCCCAACAAAGGATCCACCCAGGTAGTAACCAGTCAGACTTTGAAGCTGCAAGGCTAATCAAGGTGGCCAATTGTAACATTTGCACTTTCCTCAAGCAGACAAGAGTTCTTTCAACCACACTGGACATTCCACAGATATATAAACCTCACTTGACTAATTTCCAACAGATCCCTCAACCTCTGAAGATGCCTGCCATAGATGCGGGTGAAAGGTCAGGAGAGAATGATTCTGGAACATGGCCATGCAGCCCAGAAAACTCATAGCAACCCATTCTCACATCATTATATTTGAATGAGGAACTCCCAACTCATTGTGGATCTCCATCAGAATTACTGCTTGTACAAGAGCCACTGAATTTAGGCTAGTTTACCTGTACATACACTCTGGCAACAGGAACACATAAATGAGAGCAGGCGCATTCACACAATCCTTTCCTCTGCAGTGTATGAAACAATTAGGAGGGCCATCAGGATTTGGGACTCAGTCCTTCTGGTCTTCCCTAGATGGCCATACTCCATGACCCCATCAAAAATTCCCAGTATTTTTACACTTTCGTTTCCCATTTCTCGAAAATGTTGGGGATTTCCAAGTTAGTTTGCTCTGAGTGCTCCTCCTTAGTCATTGATGTTGCCACCTCTTCATCCAGTAATTCCTGAATGCTTTGTTTTTTGTATCTCTTCTGCCTGCCTATGATGAATATCCCAGATATGGGGACATTTCTTTCTCATTTGAATCTGCTTTCTGTTGAAATGAGGTTCCTGGAAACCCCCCTGGATTAAAATAAAATATGGTGGCCCTATACAGTTTCTCTTGTATAGCAGGACAGGGAGTTTCTCAGATTTTTAAAATACATCTTAAATGCATTCTTGGGAAGAGTTTGTTTAGATTTGGAAATGGGTGAGGAAGAGAATACCACAATGTAACCTTCTTGTTAATGCCTATCACAGGGTTCCCCCTCCAGCAAACGGAGAAGCCCTTTGTTGCAGCCAATTATTGAGGGCGAAACTGCTTCCTTTTTCAAGGAGATAAAGGTGAGGGGAACAACCAACTCCTATAAATAATTTTTCCTTTCTCTTGTAATGAATGTGGTAGAGTGGTGAAGTTGTTCCTGGTTGCTGATTATTCTATATTTCTTGAAATAGGTTTCAACTTTTAGGGAACTGCTACATAACTGCACCTTTAAAATGTTTTTTTAATCATTATTTCTTGTGGAATTGCTTGTGACCTTGCATCGAACCCTAGAATTGCAAGGAATCCTAGTTTGAAAATGCAGGTCTAGATGCAGTGGACCTACATTAGTCTGAGTTAGCTGACAAGTCGCAGGAGATGATGAGAACTGCTCTGCACTCTTAAAGCCTCATCTGCCAAAACTTTGGCCAGTATTAAAGCTATTTTGTAGGCAAATTGTTGGTGTTTAGCCAGGTCATTGAGGTTTTTTTCCAGACACACAGTAAAGACATCTGTCTCTGTGGCATTTTCAAGGACAAATAAGCAACTTTTCTTTCCATTCCCAGAAATATATATTTTTTGATTATGCAATGTGAATATTAATATCAGGTTCTAGTGATTCAGTGGTTACAGTTTTTTGGTGCAGTCTTAGTAACTGTGCTCCTTGTCTACTGGATTCTTGTTGGCAAAAGTCTCCTTGACCAGTTTTTTGGACAAGAGCAAAATCTTGGTAAGGTTCACAGTGGGAATGCTACAGTTAAAAGAGAAATTGAGCTCTGTTTTCAGCCCCAAAACCTTCTGACTATGGTAGCCTTCATCACCGGCTTTTCAGCCCTACAAAATGAAACCATATAAACCATAAACTCCCAATGCCTTTCTAGTGAGTTTCCCAGACTGTGGCCAAATTACTGCTGAATAGCCCTCCTCTTCCAGTGTTATTAGAATTGCAAGTATGTAGTAGTTCTTCTCAAGACATCTTTGCATCAGAGATAACAGATTTCCTGTCAGTTAAAATTATATAGTTTTCATTTTGATACCACCTCTCAAGACTCCCTGTTCGGAAAGCTTCTCTGGAATGCTTTTAAACAAGTTGCTGGTGATTTTTCCAACCCACTGTTTCTCACTAACCGAAGAAGAAATAGTAAATCTTGTTCTTCCTTTTTTGAGTCATGACTTAGCTTCAGATTTACCTGCTTTCTGGTGTTCACCAAATCTAACATGGCCTCGCTATGGTGGCCAGGAATGTAATGTAATGTAATGTAATGCAATGTGATGTAATGTAATAAAATGTAACGTTATGTGATGGTAATCAGGAGGGTCACAATGTCTTCACAGGAGGAAGAGGATGGTTCTGAGGATGACAGCAACACGAAACCAGATTTCACTGTCACCATAAAATCAGACTTCAATGTGAGAAGCTTTTTGGACCAACTGGAAGATGACACAGATGGCTTTGTTTCTCCGGTGGATGACAGGATTCCTTCAAGAGGTGGCCAGGATATGGGGTTGTCAAATCTTCATGCTGCATCTATGTAAGTCTGATTTCTGATGGTCTACAACAGAACCTTCCAAACAGTTCATGTTGGTGACACATTTTTCAGACATACAGCATTTCACAACAGAGTAACTCAGTTTTACTGGCAAACTGGAGGTGTGACCAACTCCTTATAAGAGATATGGACACCTATATAAATTGTAATAATGAAACGTATGAGCACACGATATATCTCATGAAAACCTTTTATTTATATTTAAAAAAATATATGATTTCTAAGATGTTTGTCATTTCTTTTTACTTTAATACAACACACCTACACGCTAAAGCCAACACACTAAGATGTCACGACACAGAGTTTGGAAAGCTCTGGTATACAATTTACATTCAGCCCTCCACATTTGAGGTTTAATTTTTATAGATTTTATTGTTCACAAATTTGATCGATAGGTTTTCCTTAGGAATTTTTGGTCTCCCAGGGTGATTTTGTGGTCAACTTCTACCACAAGCTAAACATAAAGGCATCCTGGAGGACTGAGAGATTCCTAAAAAATTATCACAGGTGTAAAAAGGTAGTTTTTTGTATTTGTTGTTTTCCACTTTTGTGGTGGTTTTGCTTTCCATTCTTGCTCCCCCCCCCTTGCCAAAATTGGAGAGCCAACTGCACTATGCATTTCTGCAAAGTGAAATATAAAACTGATAGAACTGTATGCAAGAAGCCCCCGATGGCACTATGGGTTAAACCCTTGTGCCGGCAGGACTGAAGACCAACAGGTCAGAGGTTCGAATCCGGGGAGAGCACGGATGAGCTCCCTCCGTCAGCTCCAGCTCCCCATGAGGGAGCATGATAGAAGCCTCCCACAAGGATGGTAAAACATCAAAACATCCAGGTGTCCCCTGGGCAATGTCCTTGAAGACAGCCAATCCTCTCACACCAGAAGCGACTTGAAGTTTCCCAAGTCGCTCCTGATACGAAAAAAATAACTGTATGCAGCAAGCATATCTGTCGGTGTGAGAAAGGATATATCATGGAAATATAGTAATAAAATATCATATGACGTAAAGCCATGAACAGTGTTTTCACGAGAACAGGAGCTGAAATGTTATAAAACTCATTACCATCATAAACAGCTGTATGGTGATTATTACTTCAGTTACCATGATGACCTGTCAATGTTAATATTAATCTCTTATTAAATATATTTCAATGTCAGCTTGTTCTTTGTTTTTGTTTCATTAAATACTGCAGGCCAGAACTTGTAGAGCAGCTTCAAGAAGTCAGGGAAGAGAAAAAGAGGATCAGGAAAAAACTAAGAGATTTTGAGGATAATTTTTTCCGTCAGAATGGAAGGTAACCAGTTCTGGGGTTTTGTTTTTCTAAATCATCTCTCGCTTTGAAATATCAGAATCAGAACAGGAAAATATTACTTGTTGGACAACAGCTCTCAGAATCTCCTGACCAGAATGGCCACGGGTCATGCTGGCTGGGAGACTCTGGGAGTCGTAGTGCCAAAGAGTAACTTTCCCAAGGTGTGGTCAGATTGTAACATTTGGTTCATATAGGTACAGTCCCTAGAGTAGTCTCTTGCTAACAAACTTTAAATTGCACACTTTCCGTTCCATTCAGTCATTGCATTTGAAGAAATGAATATGTTTTATCTTATTCAAAGCAAGGTGTTTCATTTATTTCTTTCATTAGGCATTCATTTCACTACCTGTTCTTAAGGAATCTAATCCTATCTGTCTTGATAGGAGTTTTGAACAATTTAAGTTACTTTTACCCATTTAATAGAGCTTTTGACATTCATTAGAAATTTTATTTACAGATTATAAGAGGATGCCAGAGAATATTGGTGCAAAAGTTAGTTCTCATACTACTCTTAGAATGTTCTGGTTTCAATATAGAAAAATGTAATGTGGGAAATATTACAAAAATGTATTGATGTTAGAGAGTGGCTAAAAAATCCAGGATATTTCTAAAGCCAACTTTAAGAGTCCTCCAATTTTGAAGACAAATGGCTATTTCCATTTCATCTTGGAGCTACAGAGATGTTGTTGACAAGATATAATTTACAAAAAAAAATAGAACAGAGGTGTCAAACTTGTGGTCCTTCAGATGTTTGGGGACTTCTAGAAGTCCTATCCAGTTTATCCAATGGCAAGGAATATGGAGCTGAGGCCCAAAACACATAGAAGGCCACAAGCTTGACACCACTAATCTAAAAGCTTCCTTGAATAGATAGAACCCCAAGTTTACTGCAGTACTGTTGGGAGTCAACTTACTTTTGAATTTTTTTCCCCTTGGGTATAAGTACCATTCCTGTCTGAACAGTAGAAGATAGTGATAGTTCAGAGTATTTTTTGCACACATAACCTAAAGAAAGGGCTGCCCCCCTGGTGGTGCAGTGGATTAAACTGCTGAGCTGCTGAACTTGCTGACTGAAAAGTTAGTGGTTTGGGGTGAGCTTCTGCTGTTAGGCCCAGCTTCTGCCAACCTAACATGCAAGTGTGAGTAGATCGATAGGTACCACTTCTTTGGGAAGATAATGGTAGTCCATGCAGTCATGCCAGCCACATGACCTTGGAGATGTCTATGGACAATGCCAGCTCTTCAGCTTAGAAATGGAGATGATCACCACCCTCCAGAGTCAAACACGACTAGACTTAATGTTGGGGAAAATATTTACCTTTACTTTACCTTTAACTGAAAGAGATGTTAATATTGTGGAAGTAACTTTCTGTTTCTGTTCTCTATCAGAAATGTCCAGAAAGAGGACCGTACTCCTATGGCTGAAGAATATAACGAATACAAGCAGGTTAAAGCCAAGCTGAGGCTGCTGGAGGTCTTAATCAGCAAAAGAGATATTGGCTCCAAGATCATGTAATGAAGGCAAATTCAACGTAGCCAGTAGGGATAAGAAGTTGACCAAGCCAAAGGAATGAATGCTCAAAGAACTCAACAAGAGCCTTGTACCTTGAGGGCCTTTTTGGCAGCTTTCCCTGGACTGTGGCTCACAGAAGAAGGGGAAGAAGGGTCCCAGCACCTTTCTTTATACTTGTGGCCTGCTTTTTGCCTCCAGGCTGGTTACTGAAACCAGCAGAAGGTGGAGGATGAAGGAATGAAGACATCCTTCGAAGGCTCTGCCCCAGAAAGTCCTTTGGCTTTGATCAGCCTGTGACTTGTGAGCTGCTCAGACTGGGTCTGATTTATACCTTATCTAACACATCACTGCAAAAGAGGCAAAACTAGTTTGAGCTATCACAGATCTCCAAATAATTGTAATTGCCAGACCAATAAAGCACCGGGGTCTGTTTTAATGAGGAAGGGCTTGCATTCTGAGATGATTCTGTGACGTTTTAGTTTGCCTCACTTTGAAGCCAGAATTGCCACTTAACTGGAAAGCAATACGTTGCTAGCTTGGCCTTCAGTGTGACTTTTTTTACACTTTTTTTAAAAAAAACTGTTAGCTTTGTGGATGTTTTTCCCTTCCTGAAAAGCTATTTCAGAACTGCTCCTTTGAACAGACAAGAAAAAGAACATCTGAGGAAGATGAACCCCTTGGAGAAGTATTTTTTGAGATACACAACAGTGGTGATTTTTGAGTGGAACTGCTCTAAGTACCAAATGGATTCCAATTGTGTTCTGATTTTCCACTTAGGTTCTGAGGGACCCTGACAGTGATCAGAAATGTGATAATACCACAGTTCCTCAATAATAAGATCAGCAATGGCAGGAAAGTTTCTGTGGAAAACAATAGCCTCATGTGTTGTTACCTTTTTCTGTAATTATGTTCTGCAATGCACTCTTGCTTTCATGTAAGATCTGCCTTCTGTCCCTATGATCCTTTCTAGAAGGTCTGAAGCATGCAGTCCATTTGTGGCAGATGTACAAGGGTTGAATGAAAAGTAATGCCTCCACCTTTGTAACTCCTCAACAGATGACAGTACTGGTGTGCGGCAGGTACTGACTTGTTCAGTAGACTCTCCTCTACAGTTCCATTTTGTTGGTAAACCTTAGCAAAAGGCTTTGCTAAGTTTTCCGGAACCCTGCACTGACTGTCGGTCAATGCGACATAAGCAACGTGCAGTCATTGAATTCTTGACAACAGAAGGTGTCACCTCAAAGGAGATTCATCAGAGAATGCAGCTGTTTATGGTGATTGTGTTGATGTGAGTACTGTGCATCGTTGGGCAAATAAGTTTAAAGATGTTGAGGTGGGAACATCTGACTTGCATGACAAGAGTTGGACGTCCTGTGACAGCAACCACCGAGTTTCACAAGCAAAAGGTTGACAGATTGATTCAGGGCGATTGTCATATCACTCAGAGAGAAATTTCAAGCATAATCTGCATTTCACAAGAACGTATGAGTCACATTATTGCTTTGCTTGGCTATCAGAACATCTACGCACGATGGGTACGTTGAGAGAACTGTGAGACGCCGGTTGCGGAAACAGTGTCGACTTCTTCCATGACGGCTTCAGAAAACTTGTTCATCGTTGGCAGAAATGTATCCAATTGTCTGGTGATTATGTGGAAAAGTGAATAGTGATAGTTAAAGAGCACATTCTAAGGATTATTTCTGCATTTAATTTATTAAAATATTCCCATCCAAACCCAAGTAACGAAGGTGGCGGCATTACTTTCATTCAACCCTCCCATGTGTAGGGGTTCCTCAGCAAGCAAAATGATATAGAGATGCTTTTCCTCTGAACTTTTGAAGTTCTCTTAATGGTGACCTTTTTTAACACCAAAGGGCAGTATCAATTTGTGCTATGTCCTTAACACTATTGATCCAACAGCAAGGTTGTATTCTTTCTGTTCATGTTTAGCTGCAGCTGTTTTTATGGCTTTGTTGTTGCTGTATTTTCAAATACTGTAGCTTGTATAAAATTGTAGGCACAATGATGCACTTTAGAGAGAGAAAGAGAGAGAATTTTATATTTTTTTAAGAATCAAAAACAAATAGTAAGCATAACCAAAACTGTACTTAAAGAAAAACCACAATATTTTGTCTACCTGACTTTTTTGTTATGCCGTTCTTCCGGGAGGAAAAGCATGTCTAAAATTCAGCTTTAAGCTTTGTCTAGAAAAGCAAGCAGCTGAAGCCAGCAGAAACTTTTCCTGGGACGTTTTTAAAAGTGTGTTTGATATGTTGAATAATGGCTGATCAGAGTTCATATGGCTGCTTCCTTATCTGTATCTGTGAAAAACCGTTAAGTTGAAAACTTGGTAACAAAATTCACAAATCCCATTAAATTAATTCTCATCAAAACTGAATAGCAATTACTACGATTTTCTGATTAAAACTGAGGCACAAAAATGTGGGCCTGGATCCAAAGAAACAAGTTCTATGAGCCTAAGCAGCGGTGGGAATTCTGCAGCCCTACAGATGTTGGCGAAGTGCAAATCCTTCAGCATTGGTTATGTTGGTCACTCGGGAGCTAGATGTTCAGTTGCACATTCCCTATCCATAGCCTAAAAGAGACTATATACTTGCTGTGTTGTGAGTTTTCTGGGCAGTATGGCCATGTTCCAGAAGCATTCTCTCCTGATGTTTCGCCTGCATCTATGACAGGCATCCTCAGAGGTTGTGACCTCACAGCCACTGAAGATACCTGTCATAGATGCAGGTGAAACGTCAGGAGAGAATGCTTCTGGGACATGGCCATACTGCCCAGAAAACTCACAACAACCCAATGATTCCGGCCATGAAAGCCTTCGACAATATATGCTTGCTTTTCTCTCATGGCTACATGGCAGACCGATTTTGAAACTGAAGGAATGGAAGCTTAAAAGAAAAAAATAGCCAAGAAAATCAGCAGGCTAACACAAGCCATTAACATGAGCCTTGTAATCCAACCCTAATAGACTCAAAAGCTAAGTTCCACTGAGTTCAGTTACATACTTTTAAACACATGTTAAAGGTTTGCCACCTGATAAATTTATTTTAAACACAACCATTCTTACCAAATTTTCTGCTTGTAATTTATATTTAAAATATGTGATGTGATATATCTGCTTTCAGTATCTAGATGTAAGATAGCTTCTGTGACAACATCTTCTTCTAGGACACTTATAGAATATTGCAGCATGAACGAGAATGATGCAGAGATGTACCCTTAGTTTCCTATCTGAATCCCTGTGTGTCTGTTTCAAAATGCTAATATCAACAAATGAAGCTGAGACATTTATTTTAAAGCCAAATAAGGATGGTAATAATTAATGAACAACTCACAGCTATAAATGATTCCTAGATTTTATTTTTTAAAAGAAAAGAAAACCTTGTAATTTGTTCACAGGTGAACGAGTGAACAGTCAAATCATTAACATGTTTTTATATTAAAATTAATGTGGAACAATGAATTTACCTTCTCTGAATCATTTTGTTAGGCTTCCGGGTATGATTTCTGTACACACTCGCAGCTTGAATATTCTGTAGCCTGCTTTTTATTTAACTAAAATGAAAGTACTTGTAGGTTCACGCAATGTAAGTTGCCTACTTTTTCTCAGCCAGACTGCTTGAAGGCATTCATTCCCAGAAAAGACAAGTGTTTCTTGGTGTGTATATATGAGGGTTATCCGGAAAGTAAGGTTACAAAGCATGTATCTCTCACAGGGAATTTTCTTGGGGGAAGTTGATATCACTACATTATTATTATTATTATTATTATTATTATTATTATTATTATTATTATTATTTAGACCATTTCTACCCCGCCCTTCTCACCCCCAAGGGGGGACTCAGGGCGGCTAACACAGGCAACAATTCAATGCCAACAGTATCAAAAATAAAACAGCAATATAAAATCCATTACATAACAAACCGTGATATTAATTAAAATTACATAATCACATAGAACAAATCACATAATCACAGGTCATAAAGCCATTTCCAAGTTTCAAACAATCCTATTGTTCGAGTTCAGTGCCTAAAGTGCTGCTGTGCCCACTAGCCAAAGGCCTGGCTCCAAAACCACATCTTTAGTTCTTTCCTAAAAGTAAGGAGGGAGGACGCCGATCTAATCTCACTGGGGAGCGAATTCCATAAGCAGGGGGTCACCACCAAGAAGGCCCTTTCCCTCATCCCCACCAGATGCGTTTGAGACACTGGTGGGACCGAGAGCAGGGCCTCCCCAGTAGATCTTAAATTATGAGGTGTAACAGAGAGAGAGATACGTTTGGATAAGTAAGCTGGGCTGGAGCCATATAGGGTTTTATAGGCCAAGATCAGCACTTTGAATTGTGTTCGGAGGTGGACTGGCACCCAGTGGAGCTGTCGCAGCAGGGGGTGGTATGCTCCCTGTATGGCTCTCCGGTAAGTAATCTGGCTGCTGCCTGTTGGACAAGTTGAAGTCTCCGAACAGTCTTCAAAGGCAACCCCACGTAGAGTGCATTGCAGTAATCTATTCGGGATGTAACCAGAGCGTGGACCACCGTGGCCAAGTCAGACTTCCCAAGGTACGGACGCAACTGGCGCACAAGCTTTAACTGTGCAAAAGCGGGAAGCCATTCGAAGTGAACGAGCAGTGCTAGTTGTCAGTAGCTCATCGACTGGTGTTGTAGTGAAGGTTAGAGATGAGCATCCTTATTCCGTTTCCTTCCTAGTGCAAAGTTCATACTGTAATACGCTATCTAAATTCTAAGGGCATGAATGCCACGGCAATTCATTGTGAATTCGTTTCAGTTTATGGAGGGGACATAATGCCAAGACAGCATGTGACAAAATGGGTGCAGAATATATTATGAGACCATGAAGAAACGTTGCAGAGCCATCCAAAACAAATGTGGGATTTTGATGGCGGAAGTCTGTCTCGTTCATGACAATGTGCATCCACACACCCCTCAAGCAACACAAGAGTTGTTGACTTCATTTGGTTGGGATGTTTTAAGCCACCCCTCTCACAGCCCTGATCTTGCACCCAGTGACTATCATCTGTTCACTAAATTCAAGTAACACCTTGGTGGAAAACACTTTTCCAACAACGACGAGGTGAAAATTAAAGTGATGAACTGGCTGAAAAAGGCAGAGGGAAATTTCTATGACACGCATCAAAAACTCATCCCATGGATGACAAAAAGTATTGAACCGAATGGTGATTATGTGGAAAAATAATGTAATATCTATGCTACAATCCATGTAAGCTTTATTAAAATATATTCTTTGTATTTTTTAATATATATATATATATATAAATTTACTTTCTGGATAACCTTCATATATAAAGTGTTCAGGTCACCTAGGAAAAAAGTGGCCAGATGGAAAGTGGCATGCTTACCCTTCCTAACTTTGGAAGGTCAAGCCCTTTTAAAGAGAATTTATGTTCCTTTAGTTAGAAAATGCCAGCCAGACCTTACAATTCCTAACCCTATGGTTAAAAAAGCAGGTAAAAAGATTAGCTGGAATATGATCCTTATCTCTCTTGCCAGTTGAGCATAATCTAGAATGGGTGGGATAACTTTTCAAAAAGTTTGGTTTAATCCTGTCAAAAGTCACCAATGCTAATTGACATCTTGTTATGCATTCTTGTCACCATAAATTGACATATAATCACACGCAGATTGTATATCACCCATAAATGAATGATGTTGCATGTTGCTCAGATTCTGAGAAATGATACCATGACTTATGAAACTTGTCCATATGCACAAACAGATTCATGTGCATTGGACATACTGTGCGATAGGAGCCCCCATTTCACAAATTGTGTGGCACCCTGTTATGCATTGCCACACTTCACTACTATGGTTATGTATCACATCAGCAATTATCATAAAATTATGCATTGTAGACTGTGCTGCAAATCTCAGTCAAACAGCTCTAGTGGCATATTGGTTGGAGCCACAACTGCACTTTAAGTATATCTTACATGCTTTTCCCTGGGTACAAAGCTGTCCTCTTGCCGTTTTTCCTTCTGCATCGCTGACATTCCTGCTTCCAAAAATAGTCTGTTTCGAGTTGGATGAAACAAAAAGGAGTGATGGAGGGTCTATACTGATCATGCAGAAAATGGAAAGGAATGTCTATATTCAGAGATAGTTCAAATAAGGGCAGTGCCTAATGAAAATGGGCAATTTGTCATCATAATCTCCCTGCCTGGTTCAAGATTATAAATTTCCAAATGAATGATTCCCTGCAAAGATGCCCTCATAAAATAATAATTCCCAGGCTTCTTTGGGGCATTTAAAGCAATATTAAAGTAGGGATCGGAAAATGTCATCCTGCTTTGGTTGAGTTTCTTCAAACATCTCTCCTGCTCCCATTTCCTTCTTATCAGCTGGGCTTTGAGAGACTCCATTCACTTCTCACACTGAAACCTCTTATAGCAACTTCTTATAGCAACACCAGAGGCACTCCAAGTGGCCAGTTACTGGTCAAAGGACATTTAATAGAATGCCAAGTTTTAAAACTTTGTGTTTTTAAATACATTACAACTGTACCCTCATTCACTTCTGATATGACAAATAAATAAATAAATAAATAAATAAATGCTTTATGATTCCCATCACTGGCACATTAAGGGGGAACAAAGTTCAACACACAATAGAACTTCCCTTAATAATGCCAACAAATTGCATGTAACTAGGGGATTAATTGCATTAAAATCAGCTTTACAAAACCACCAGAAACCATGTGACAAGTCACTTTCTGCCAAGACAGGCACTGACTGACTTACAAAAAATGTTTCCTACTGTTAAAGAGTTAGAGAACATGAGACTTTCTAAATTCAAAGGTAAACGTGAGCCTTCTTAGGTGCACCATTCCATTGCCCATACTCTTTGTTTATCCGGATAAGGCACATTTCAGTTTTTGTTAATTACTGTTCGGTATTAGTTCTGCCTCACAGCAAGGGAGATGCATCACAACATCTGGAACACAGCTTAAGGAGCTGGGCATATTTAGCCTGAAGAAGAGAAGGTTGAGAGGAGATATGATAGCCATGTATAAATATGTGAGAGGAAGCCACAGGGAGGAGGGAGCAAGCTTGTTTTCTGCTTCCCTGGAGACTAGGACGCGAAACAATGGCTTCAAACTACAAGAGAGGAGATTCCATCTGAACATCAAGAAGAACTTCCTGACTGTGAGAACTGTTCAGCAGTGGAACTCTCTGCCCCGGAGTGTGGTGGAGGCTTCTTCTTTGGAAGCTTTTAAACAGAGGCTGGATGGCCATCTGTCAGGGATGATTTGAATGCAATATTCCTGCTTCTTGGCAGGGGGTTGGACTGGATGGCCCATGAGGTCTCTTCCAACTCTTTGATTCTATGATTCTATGATCTCTACAGAACAGGGCTATTGGGTTTTGTTTTGTTTTTTTTTGGGGGGGGGAGGTTACCATCAACTTGTAGTTTCATAAAAGCAGGACAGAGAGAGAATTTATTTTCTCCTTTTAGGCAAACAAGGTATAAAATCTGAAGGAAACATTACATTTATTGCATAATACCGGGCTATGTACAATACACAATAGAAAATAAACATTTGATACAGCTATATGTAATGCTGTAGTATAAAGAGGTTTGAACAGCTACCCGAGTAGCAAATCAATGCTATTATTTAGTATTTTTGAAAGCTTTCCCCAAATGTCTTCACAGTATTTCCATCAGGGAGGGCAATGGGGAGGAAAAAGTAATCTTGCAAATAATTTGTTGAAAAGGTTTTGAAAACGGGCTCAGAACAGTAAAAATTGTGACTGAATTACTTTCTCAGACTCATTTCTGTAAAGATAACAACAGTCAGAAGGAAATTGGGGCTGGACTGGACTGAGACTATGGAAGGCTTTAAGCTAAGCATGAGCAAACTTGGACCCTCCGGCTGTTAGGAATTGTGGGAGTTGAAGTCCAAAACACCTGGAGGGTCCAAGTTTGCCCATGCCTGCTTTAAGCCTTTTCCCTCCCTGACATCCCCTTCCAACTCAATCCATTCACTGCTTTTCTTGGGACTTAACTGGAGCTGGACTACCCTGTTATATAAATACCAAGGCTCAAATCAGATTGACACAAGACCTTGGAAAGCAAAAGGGACGGCATTCCCTATGACACCGAGGGAAAAGAAAGAGCTCTTGCCGAGTATGTTATGAGGAAGAAGTGCAAAAAACAGACCGCTTTCTTCTCTCCTGCCCTTACAGTGCATACAAGGACTCTGGATTACAGGAAGCAGAGACAGGTCTCCCATCTATTAAAAGGTGCATGAAACATGTTGGGCCGCTCTCAGGATCCTGTCCCTGAACGGAAACTAGGAAATAGGGGAGAAAAACCTAGTGCATTTAAATACTCTTCTGCTTTAAGCACAAAATAAGTAATATTTTAAAGTACTGTCATGTAGGTCCATAAGGACCTTTGTCTATTTCTGTTTGGCTACAAAGCAAATGGCTGAGATTTCTGTAGCACAACAGAAAGAAGATAAATTATTTAATCATCTCGTTTTCTGTGGCTGAAGAAAAAGAGAAAGGAACTCAACTTCATTCAAGTTTCAACCTCGACTTCAATTATTTTATTATTATTATATTTATTTATATAATAATAACTCTTCAAACTCTTCATCAACCATCTTTTTTCTCCCTTTTTCCTGAAGCAAAAATTGGCAGATATTATCTGTCACAAAGCTGTCTGCTATCATTAGAAAAAAAGGAAAATACTTCCGTTTCACCTCAAAAACTAACAGCAGAGGTGGGAGTTAAGGTGCAAGAAGACAACAGAGGAAAGTATGTAACAGGAAGAGAAAAAACAGAAAGGACATTCACAGCTGTGGAGAAAGAGGTGAGAGATATACTCTTTCTCGCCAAGTTATCACAATCCACCTTTTCAGATAGTTATTTCAAAACATTAGTTGTATTTTCAACAGGAGCTGAACTGGAAGAGCAGGAAAGAAAAATAAACTTCTAATAAATATCAGTCAATAAGCATAATAGAACTTCCATCAGAGTTTGATTGACAAGTTGAAAACATCAAAGCTGAAATCCTAAAGAAAGTCAACCAGACTTTGCTGCAGTTCTGTTTCCTATACTCTTCTCCCTCCCACTTCACTGAGCATTATTAATACCATTTCTTTACAAAAATAATAATAAAAAACAAGACAGTATTTTCCTTCTATATAGAATTGTCTATGTTGAAGCCGGCTTTCATGCCAAGCTGAAGCCCTCATAGTGGTCAATGGCTTGCATGAGTCGTGTGCTCAGGATTTCCTTGTTGCTGTACTTGGGCAGGTCGAGGAGGTTGTAGCACGTATGAGCAACAGGCAGGTACTGCTCTCCGCTAGACGTCGATTGGATGACGATTCGCAAACTCGACATGCCATAGATGGGGATCCGGTCGCTGCCTGTCAGGAACACTGGAAAAACAAAGGAGAATCACCTATCATCGATGTATAAAAGATTTCATGTTCTATCTTTAAAAACACTGCTGAGCCACCTGCTCCATGACCCATCCTTAAAGGACTATATGCCCTTCCAAACAGCTACCAGGGCGAAAGGAGGACCTCCTCAGGGGAGGTCCTCCTTTTGCCCTTACCAATCTCACAAGCTCGTCTTGTGGGCACAAGAGATAGAGCCTTCTCTTTTGTGGCCCCCCGACTTTGGAACTCTTTACCTGGGGAGATCAGGAAAGCCCCTTCACTGGAAACATTAAAAAAGAACCTCAAAACCTGGCTTTTCCACTGCGCCTTTGGTGAGAAGGTGCTCAGTATGATTTTTTTATACACTCCTCAATGTTTTTGGCTAATGGAGTTCGTGCCCTCCAAATAGGATGTTCTGCCCCATAACTCTGTGTGTTTTATGAGTTCCGTTTAAAATTCCTGCTCCTATTTTATCTCATCATAGTTTGTTTGTTTTTTTTCCGGAATATGTGGCCCGCCCATTGTCATTTCTATCGTGATTGTGTCTATTGGTATTTTATTTTATTTTTATTATAATTTATTATTTTAATGTCATTTTGATAATGTTGTTGTTGTCTGATGTATATGCTTTGATTTTATTGCTATATTATGTTGTCCGGGCTTGGCCCCATGTAAGCCGCACCGAGTCCCCATTGGGGAGATGGTGGCGGAGTAGAAATAAAGATTATTATTATTATTATTATTATTATTATTATTACCACAACCTCTGGTGCTGTGTTACTTTACTGGGAGGAAAGGGAGGATCTAGAGTAGAGTTGGAAATGTTACTATATGTACTGGAACTTTAAGAAAAGCAAAGTGAACGAGAAACCCATCCTTTTGGTGGAGGGGTCTGTGCTATGCTGGAAAGGGCTTCAGAGTGTCCTGTGAAACTCACATCCCTGATTTAGTGGAAGGCATCAAATGCAGTTTTGTAAAATCTTAGAATGATGCATTCAGGGGAATCCGTATCAAATTTGTAGATAATACAAACTGGGCAGGCTAGCTAACACACTAGAAGAGAATAACATAATTCAACTGGGTAAACAAAAAAATGGGCTCAAACTAATGGAATAAAATTCAACAGAAAGAAATATAAAATTCTAGATTTGGGCCACAAAAACTAAATCCACTGGTGTAGGATGGAAAATATAGTTGACCCTCCATATCCTTGGATTCTCAATCCATGGATTCAACTATCCATGTTTTTACCATATATACTAGAGTATAAGCCAATCTTAATATAAGCCAAGGCACCTAATTTTACCACAAAGAATTGGGAAAACGTATTGACTCGAGTATAAGCCAAAGGTGGGAAATGCAGCAGCTACTGATAAACTTCAAAATAAAAATAGATACCAATAAAATTACATTAACTGAGGCATCAGTAGGTTAAATGTTTTTAAATATTTACACAAAACTGTAATTTAAGATAAGACTGTCCAACTCTGATTGAACCGTTATTCTAACTTTCTTCAATGTAAATGTGCTTACGTATCCTTCCAATAAAAATAAAGAGAGTAAAAAAATAAATGTAATAATAACAATAATAAAGTAAAAAATAAATGTAATAATAATAGTGTAAATTATGTAAATGTACTAATAATAATAGTGTAAAATAAGAAATGTAATAATAATAGAGTAAAACAATAAATGTAATAATAAAAATAGAGTAAAATAATAAATGTAATAATAGTGTACAATAAATGTAATAACAAATAGAGAAAAATAATAGATGTAATAATAATATAGTAAATTAATGTAAAATATAATAATAGAATAAAATAATAAATGTAATAAAATAATAATAATAACAGAGTAAAATAATAAATAACTTTGACTCGAGTATAAGCCGAGGGAGCCTTTTTCAACCTTAAAAAAGGCTGAAAAACCCGGCTTATACTCAAGTATATACGGTACATTTAAAACATTCCAAAAGGCAAACCTTGGTTTTGCCATTTTATATACTAGACTACTGTATATAATGGGATATGAGCATACATGGAAAGTGTATGGATGTTGCAGTGATAGAAATAATCCAGAATGGATGCCAAGAGTCCTCTGTGCTTGGTTTAACAGTAACACACACGAACAGCTGTTTGCGGAGGATGCTCTACCTGGAGGTCTGGAACTGAGTTGTAGCTGGAGCTACACGTGTCATATGGGGACTCCTCCAACTCTATGGTTCTATGTGGATATCTGCTATTACTTTAAATTAATTAATACTTACAGAGAAATTTTTTCTTCTTTTCTAGCGGAAACTCATGAAAGATCTCCCAAAACATCTGCACAGTTGGGTGTGTAGCTGAATAATCCCCTTTGTAAGTTGTGCTCTGTAAAATAAGTTACAAAATATCACACAGATACCAAAGAACTAGAGGTCAATTGTATTAATTTAAAACACAGGGTGATGCCTACATTTATCTCTCTGAAAGCACTTCTGTTATTTGGTTTCCATTACCTTCCCGCTGAAGCAATACCTATTGATCTACTCACATCTATATGTTTTCGAACTGCTAGGTTGGCAGAAGCTGGGGTTAACAGCGGGAGCTCACTCTGCTCCCGGATTCAAACCACCAACCTTTCGGTCAGCAAGTTAAGCAGCTCAGCAGTTTAACTCGCTGTGCAACCAGAGGGCCTCTGGATTTTGTTTATGGGTGTAATATTCCTGTATATGCTCACTATCACAAAGCCTGATAAAGAGACAGAAAGGTTCAGGAAAAGTGTAATATCTTAATGGCCAGATGATGTAATGTAATAAATGTATGGGGACGATAGGATTTATGCTCCAACACATCTAGGAGATCACTGAGGGGAAAGCTGCTTTAAATGAGTTACGTTTAGCCTGCAAGGGAGCCCCCAGTGGCACAGTAGGTTTAACTGCTGAGATGTTAAACTTGCTGTCCGGGGAACAGCGTGAGCTCCCACTGTTACCCCTGCTTCTGCCAACCTAGCAGTTCGAAAACATGCAAATGTGAGTAGATCAATAGGTATCGCTCCGGCGAGAAGGTAACGACACTCCATGCTTTCATGCTGGCCACATGATCTTGAAGGTGTCTACGGACAACGCTGGCTCTTTGGCTTAGAAATGGAGATGAGCAGCAACCCCCAGAGTCAGGGGAAAACCTTTACCTTTTCCTTAGGCTGCAATCCTGAACACAATCTATATAAATAAAAATGTAATGTTTGTTTTTGGGATTAACATAACACAAAAACCACTGGACGAATTGACACCAAATTTGGATACAATACACCTATCAGGCGAACAAGTGACCATCACTCGTAAAAACACTGAAAAACACAGCAGAAGAGACATAAAAAGCCAAAAAAAAGCAAAAAAGATGCTACAGCGCACATATCCACATATATACACATATACACAAATATATACACACACAAAACACATATACACAGACTGGGCCACAGCAACGCGTTGCAGGGGACAGCTGGTCAGCATTAAAACTCAATGAACAAAATGAAGCTTCCTTCCAAGTAAATAATGCCCAGACTGGATTCCTAATACAACAAGGGAGGCAGCGGCTTAGATCTAACTACAATATATGCACACAAATAAAAACATTCTTAAAATACTCCATGTTGAAATAAATGCACTGGGCATACTGAACAGGGAAAAGTGTTAATATTATTTGCTTTTAAAACCTCATTGTGGCTTTCACTCCTATCTTCCCACCCATCTCATGTTTCAAGGTGTTTTGCTGTTGCGGAGTACTAAAAAGGCCTTCAGACTTTCAGGCAGCTGAAGAATCAACCCACAAGACTTCACTATGGAGATCACAACCACAAAGATTGCCACTTCTACACTCACCCATGACAGAAAGGCATGCAGCCAATGGACAACCTACCTCCTCCAGCTCTTTCCAGTTGTAGTTGCTGCTTCCAACAATCATAGCCCTCAACTCAGTTGGCTGGAACAGTTCCAGCACCTTGCCACCACACACCTTCAGGAAGCCACTGGAGAAAGCTGTGTACCACTCATGGATGGAAATGTTGAAGATGTAATTTACATAGGCATCAACGAATTCCTGTCTGAGAGAACAGCAGACATACTCATGTTCATTTACATTGCTGGGCAAAATCAACTATGATGAGTAAGGGATGCAGATGGACAGCCACCAAGAGAGATAATGATGATTCCGAATGATGTTTTGAAATACAGGAAATCCCCAACTTTTCTGTAGGTTTGTTCTTAAGTTGAATTTGTTTGCAAGCCAGAACAGGTACATTTTTTAAAGTTTAATACCAGCCAAAAACAGATATTAGCTTTGGATATCATAGGGAAGCATTAACATCCCTGTGGTGTCAAAGGCTTTCATGGACAGAATCACTGGTTTGTTGTGAGTTTTCTGGGCTGTATGGCCATGTTCCAGAAGCATTCTCTCCTGACATTTCACCCACATCTCTGGCAGACATCCTCAGAGGTTGTGATATCTGTTGGAAACTAGGCAAGTGGGGTTTATATATCTGTTAACTGGCCCTGACTGTTTCCTGTCTGGAATTCCACTGTTTTCTGAGTGTTGTTCTGATTTTAGTGTTTTTTCATACTGGTAGCCAGATTTTATTCATTTTCATGGTTTCCTACTTTCTGTTGAAATTGTTCACATGCTCGTAGATTTCAATGGCTTCTCTGTGTAGTCTGGTGGTTGTTAGAGTGGCCACCTAACACCTCCCAACAATGGATACCCCAAGGCAGGAAGCAACCAGGCTTTAAAGCTGCAAGGCCATTCAATGCTAATCAAGGTTACCAATTGCAATATTCACATTTGCCTCAAACAGACAAAGAGTTCTTTCTTCCACCCTGGACATTCCACAGATATATACACCCTACTTGCCTAGTTTCCAAAAGATCTCACAACCTCTGAGGATGCTTACCAAAGATGTGGGTGAAATGTCATGAGAGAATGCTTCTGGAACATGGCCATACAGCCCGAAAAACTTACAACAAGCCAGTGGAATAGATGCTTGTAACTCGGGACAATATGTTGGACTCTCGGTCTTTGGAGGTCTTGAAATGGAGTTTGGATAAGCATACTTCGGGTATGCTTTAGTTGTGCAATCCTGAAAGGCAGTGGATGGACTAGATGGCTATGGGACCTCTTCTTGTTGCATGATTCTATAACTTTGGGAATTGCCCAGAAAAGCAAATCTTCTGAATTCAGAAAGATGCATTCCCATCTCTACCTTTCATTCAGGACATTTAAATGGCTTTGGATAATATAACACTAAAAAAATGATGGATACCACAATGGCCTTATAGAGTCTCCATTTTCGAAAGCAGCAGAGGAAGACATTTAGGGAGCAAGTACTACTGACCAGTCACTTTCAGAAACAGGATGTTGAATATATTTGCCTGATACAGTTGGCCTCTTGCTAAGTGTTAAGATTTCATAACAAACCAAATCCTGAGTGGTTACCGTTTACATAAATCGACTGCAAATATAACAGAATAAAGGATGCAGTGTGAAGCGTAAGATAACACGCCACCACTTTATTGGTTTGCATTTCCCTCTGGAGTCAGCCAAATGTCAGTAAAATAAGGAAGGAAAAGGGCAGACAACAGGACCTTTTCTTTCTTATTACCTTTCTCATAGTTCGATTGGATTTTAATATTTGGTTTCACACATTCTCCAGAGGTTGTTATACAACAACAGATATTTTCCTCCACTATGCTTTCCTCCACTATGCTCCACTATTTATATCTCTGTATCTAAAGAATTGAACATTTAATCAATTTAGAGGATTTACATTGAAGTTATTGGGCTGATTTCATAACAGTCATAGTGAATTACCGAGATTCGTGGGCGGATGCTCCTATAATTCTTATTCCCAAACAAGACAGAGATACAAAACAATCGGGCTTTCCAAACCCACCTGTTGTCCTTTTGTACTGCAATTTTGTCTCCATCAGGAATGAGGCTCTTCTGCTCTGCCACACCGTAGCTTTCTCTGCATATCTGTTTTTCCCACCCAAAAGAAACAACAAAATTGCTTTATTTTCGATCTCACCACTTTGTTGTTGTTCATTCGTTCAGTCGTCTCACCACTAGATCTCACCACTAGAGCTTAAAATTTAGACAGGCATACATGTTATCTTTCATGCTCATTGAGAAGGCACAGAGTGGGGAAATAATAATGATCATGATTATTATTATACTGACACAAAAGCACAGTATGACACAGCAAACAAGATATACGTATATGCTGGATTTCATATTACAAAATCACAAGTCAAACACTTCCTAAGCATTTAGGACTGTGTGATGTATTGTTATTATAAATTATATTATATTGTTGTTCATTCGTTCAGTCGTCTCCGACTCTTCGTGACCTCATGGACCAGCCCACGCCA